CCCACTCCAAGCCGCTCGCTCGCTCGTGCTCTCTTTGGTACATTTGTGAAACGGGCCCCTGATGCGCACCTGTGTGTGTGCGTGCGTGTAGGTGTGGCGTATCGGGACAGTTTCTTTTGTAAAGCTGATTGTTGACAATAAACGTGGCATTTCTGTTTGAGCTTCCTGCGAGGTCTAGCTGGGAGCACGCGCCTGGCTGATGAGGACAGAGGGGACAGTCCAGCCCAGCCCGAGGTGGCTCGCCACCCCCTCACCCTGCAGGCACGTCTGCCCTTCACTAGCCTGCTGGAGGGAAAGACAGGGGAATCCCATGGCATGTCCTGACCGGACACATACTCAGTGCTCCCTACCTGGGATGGTGGGTGGAGATGGGGCTGGAGAAACATAGGCAAGAGACTAATCTAAACCAAGACTCTTAGAAAGGAGATTTGCCCTATGACGCTCCCAGGGCGATTGCCACCCCTGTGAAGGGGATTGCTGCGTCTCTGTGGATAGAGGAGAGGACAGTAGCAACCCTAACATTTTATTGCTGCAGCACACAGGAGCTTCAGCTATGGACAAAGGCACCGCTGTGCTGGGAGCTGGACAAACACCAGGCAGAAGGAAAGTCCCAGCCCTGAGGGGTCTGTAGGCTGTGCGCAAAGCGCCTGATATTCAAGAAAAGACGAGGGCAGGCTGAGATTTTTTTTTTTTTAATTAAGAGCAGGGAGGTCTGTGTGCCCGCATCAAGCACATCCCCTCCGAAGCAGAAGCAGGCTCCGTCAGGGAAGCCAGACAAACTTTATCCAGTTGGACAAGAAACAGAAGGCGAGCGGAGTGCTTGTGGCCTGCCAGTGCTACAAAGGCGATGGTCTGATGGAGCAATGCTTCCCCCAAAAGGGAGGAGAAGCAGGCTCCAGCTCAAAGCAGTACTTCCTTTCAAAAACAACCCAGTCCCTCAGGGTGACAGGCTCCCTAACAGAGCTGCTGAAACATCAGGAAGAACTACAGAAAACTATGTGCTGAGGTGGGAAACTTAAAAGCAATGCAGAGGTGAGCCTAAAGTCCTAGAGACGGGAATCAGGTTATCACAGGTTGCCTGTCCTAGGTTTGAGGAAGCAGCCAGGAGAGGGGTGTGTCTGATAAATGAGTTTCCCCTTTCTCGGGAGTGAGCTGGGCTCTGGATTGGTTGTTGAAACACAGCAAGGCGCCCTTTCCAGGGATGCTCAGTGCTCTCCCTGCCGGGGGGGCTGCATGTCTGCCTGCCATGCCTGGAGGGAGGCTGTAGGCCCCCAGCTGCATAGCCAGCATTACAGAAACGTTGTGGGGGCCTAGATATTACTGCCCAGAGGGCCACCACTTGGACACCTCTCATCTACCTTGCCACAGAGCAGCATGGCACACAGACGGCTGCGGGAGCTTGGGGGAGAACCGGTCTGCAAGGGGAGGAACCCCAAACCCAACGCTGGAGAGCAGAAATCAGAAGAAACTCTAGGTCAGAGCGTGATGTCAAGGAGCTCGTGTGGGCTATAAATCTCATTAAGCATTACTAATGAGCTACTGACCTACCTACATACAACCTGGTTTGCCCTAGGATGAGGGCTGCAGGCACAATTCTTGGAGCAGGCTATTCTAGAGCAGTCAGTGGCCAGGCCTGCATGAAGCTTTTCCCCCTCAGCGGGTTGTGTTTCTCCTAGCAAAGGCACAATCTCACCAATAATTGGATAAAGTAGAGCATAAAACTGGAGCACCTAGTTTTCCCTATGGCCTTCCCCTTGCAGGGCTTGTAGTGGGGACTCCTCTCTGTGCCAGCACTGTCCCCTGGCTCCCACTGCTCATTCTGGGGGAAATTTTAGACATTAAACAAACTCTGTGGCTGTCACCTTAAGCCCTTCAGCATATCTCCTCAAAGTTCTCTTTTTCAAGCAAAAAAATAAAAAATAAAATAAAATCTGAATATATCCTTTAGCAAAAGCATATGCCCAAGGACTTTACTGAGCTCGAGTC